GCGGAAGGCTCGCGGAAGCTGCTCCCGAAACAGGGCCGAGTACAGCTTTCTATAAATCATGAGGAATCCTGGGCGGCAAATAAGTTCTGTGCGTGGAGAGATGATGACTCCAAGAAGTGGAGGGAAACTTTGCCGAAGGTTGGCGGAAGGCTCGCGGAAGGCTCGCGAAGGCTGAAAGCCCTTTCGAAGCCATGTGCCATGTGCTCATGTCACATGCTCAACAGGCTCAAGCGACAGTCAATGATGAGCATGGGCATTCTTTGAGTAGCATAGTATATTCCTGCAAAGGATCCCCATGCATCGATTGTAAAATTCTGCTAGTTACTCTTGTGTAGCGAATCCAAGAGGAGAACATATTCTGTGGAAGCAAAATCTTTACGGAAGTCTCGCGGAAGCCGAGTTGTGCAACATGCCCAAAATAGAAGTGCGCTCTGGGCCACGGAAGGATGCGGAAGGATTCGTGGAGAGGTTTCGCGGAAGGGTGTGTTACGTCATGAGTCATCAGGATTTTAACAGGAAGCAAAAACATCGCTCAGTTATCAACAGAGGCACATGTACCCCAAGCACAAAACGTTGGATGTGGGAAAAGACATTCCAGTCTCCCGGCCGCAAACTGTGTCACCTCCATGCCCATGCACCGAGATTTGTCGTCCTGTGGACGAGCTGATTAGCTCTCCTTGTTTCAGGTCCCTCGTGTCCTTGCACCTCTGCTAGATTCCGGATTGCTGCAGCCGCCTGTCTACGAGGCCGACGCTTATGTATTTGTATATGCATACATGCTTTTTTACAAATGGCAATAGAGGTGAAATTAATCATTGGAAGCAGGCCTGTGATTTCCAACATCCCCAGTGTCGTTCCATTGCAAGATCAAAGTCAAAGCTCGTTCGCCTGACGCAGGCTCCCGGCTACGGGCGCAATGATGGGCCATTGCGGCAGAACCTGCTCACTTTTTTTTTCAAGGCGACATGTCCACCATGTGTCTTTGAGTCGGGGGGCGGCCAGGTAATGTCAGGCAAATGCCTCCCGTGGCTTGTGCAGACTCAAACAGACTAGAAACATCAATCGCAATTCAATCTGGTGCATGTGCAGGTTGTGTGCCGTGCTTCGCGAATTTTTCAATACCTGGCAGGTGCAGGAGCATCCTGAGGTGCCAGAGAGCGTTCCGCACCTCTACATTGCAGTGCGCGGGCCTGCCGGATTCCTTTTCCAAGAGGACTGTTTCGAAGGTTTACAAGCCCTCAGCCCCAGTCTTGGCTCGCAGTTTCCTTGCAGCACGGCAAAGCTCTCTTCGCAACCTTGGTGTCCCGGAGTGATTGAACCATGGCCAGCGAATCTTGAGCCAGTAGCATGCTTGGGTATCCAGAGCAGTGCTCGGATTTCCGTGCCAAACCCCTTGGTGCTGCAAGCTGCAGCACCAGTTGGGGCGACTGTTCCCGCTTTCGAAGACAACAGCATGTATGCTTTCAGCATTCAGGTACAGAATCCCGAGTTTCAGATTGAAGCGGGTAGCCAATGGGCTTTGGATTTCGTGTTTGAGGCAGGTGCGCCTTTCGATTCCTTACCGGTGGCGACGTTTGATCATGAAGAAACTGTTCTACGTCTGGCTTCGGCGCTGCATGTGCAGCCCCTGCTTCAAACCATTGAGCAGCAGTTCATGCCTTTCCGCTGCTGGGATGACACTGGTAACCGGTACTGTTTTGCCGGTTTCAGGCTAGGTTGCAATGATTTGCAATGCTAATGCATTTGTTTGCTGAAGCGTCTTTGCCAAGACCTGAGGCCTGGATTTCAAGCCCTACACCTTAGTTCCAGCACCCAGGATGTCCAGGACACTGAAACGAATTGGCAAGCTATGCAAGCTCCACCCCGGGTTCCTGTTTGTTCTGGCCTGTCAGGAGCCGACGATTGCAACCTCTTGGGGGTGGTGTGGCGCCTTTGGAGCCAGATGCAGAGGAGGGAAGCCTGGTGACTGGAACAAAACTTTGCAAGCTTTTAGGCCTTTCTGTCATTCAGTCCTCGTGGAAAAGGCTTCGGCAGGAGAACATTTGGGTGGCTCTCTGTCTTGCGTCCTCAGGTACTCCTAGCTCCGCCTGGCTTCCAATTTCGAGCTGGTGATTTCGACTTCTGTGCTGAGATTTCGGTGGAGCGCAAGGCAAATGTGAGCGCTGCTTTCGTCAGAATCTGCCAGTCCGACACAAACCCGAGCATGTGCACACATGTATCATGTGTCCTCCCTCTCTCTCTCACATGTGAGCGAGCTACGTATGCTGGTGCCAGCGGCTCCCTGAGAGCTTGCACTTCCAGCTACGGCCTGGGTGTAACTGTGTGCCTGTCTCTCTGGTGCCTCTTATCCATCTCTCTCTCTCTCTCGCCCCTTTCGCTACGGACAATTCTTTTCTCGTTTTCTATTGTCTCGTCTTGTCTTGCTCGTGGAATGTACAGTTGTTATGTCTGCAGGCTGCCGCAACGTTTTAGATGCCTCAAACCACAACAAGATAACGGTGGGGATGTCCGAAGTAGACTTTTTGCTTGGTTGTGTTTTTGTTTGTGTGTGCTTGTTCTTGTGTGTGATGACCCATCTTATGCAGGGGGATATGGCGATATCTCAGACAATCAGCTGTGCTTGAAGCTTTCCAAACTTTTGTCTCCAGCAGGACAGGGTCCTGTGGGACACGGCTGCGATATTTGGCTCCATTGATGCCGTGTGCTACATCGTTGGGGAGAGCATGGACAACATGACGCCCCTTAGCAACACTACACTTGAAAAATGGCAAGCAAAAAGCGTTGCACTTCTCCCGAGATCTCAGTGCCACCCCTAACTGACTCCCCAGCATGAATCTGAGCTTTGTTGCTTTGGTTTTTGATGACAGAGTGATAGAACCTCAGAGTGTAGCTGAATGTGCATTGCCGTCGAGAGGTGTTCGGTTACAGAGTGCAACAAACCTTGAATACTGAAGCATCAGGAAACAAGTGCCACGCAACTAAGTTGGAGTCTGTACAGCCTTCAAGCGACTTTGAGGTGGGGCCGGATGAAGCTGCAGCATGCTGTTCCCCCAGGTATACGCTGATCAACACCAAGGCGCTGCAGCCTTTGGTGACTTACTCCTTGAAGTCAGTCGTCAAAAACATAGATGTATCAACGTGGCCAAACTCCAATGTGGCTTGGCTTATTGGCTTAGCTCTCTGTGCATGAACCTTCCTTCGCACTGCAGACAGTTGGCTGCGAGGTATGGATTCTTGAGTCGTTCAAAAGATTCATTGCAACTGGCCAAAGCATTCGACTGGACAGCTCCCCGTTGCAGAAATGAAGATAGATTATGCAAGACGAGCTTTGCTGATGCCTTCGAGTGCTGATCTAGGGCTTCTCAGGCTACAACGTTCCAGGAACACCCACCGTGGCTCCTTCTCCGGAGTTTGCCGTCAGGAACACCGCGCAGGAATTCACGGCAGGACGGGTATTGAGGTTCCAACATCAACAATCTCGTTTTCAGCAGGGGCTGGACCTTTGCCTGCACATCCTGGCAGAAACCGTTCTCTCGTATGAAGAGTCCTCGTATTTTGGCCGACAGAACTTGCAGGAATGCCCAGCAAATCCCAGCGAGACACTAAACCCACAAAAACAAGGCAATACAAATATCTAGTTTAAGTTTAAGTTGATATTTAATTCCAAGCCACCCGACAAGTCTGAACGAAGGGCCCAACAGGTTGCCTGGAAGTTGCGACGCCTGCCTAGGAAGCTACACGATAGGTGCTGGGCTGGACTGACTAGGGGCGACATTGGACATGCTTTTTGACCTCGACTTTTGCTAACACAGTGTTTCTTGAAGGAGTGCGGACTCCCCACATCAACGTCTCTATGATGTTTAATTCCGTTCTTCGGAACGGGGATGTCATTCGCATCACACCACCGCCAGGCGTGGACAGTGTTTCCAAAAGGGTACAACAGGGTCCTGGGCTTTATTCAATCTCACTATGAGCTCAACATCAAGGTCTAGGTAGAGGTTATTATTTTGGTTTTTGCATTTTCTTTGCCTTCTCTAACTAATTAAGCTTTTTGCATTTCCTTCTTATCGATTCCCAAGTTAGAGTCAGCAAATATGCGCCTGTTGGGCGCTTGAGGATAAAACCGTTTGTGACGCTCGCCCGGAGGTTGCAATGTGTCAGTCCTGTTTCTGAAGGTGCGAAATAGGAGGCCGCGTCAGTCAAAGGCAGTGTTTTGGGGCCGCCCTTCATGTCGAAGTACAGAAGTACATTCCTGGTGGGGCTCAGTAGTTTTGTTTGTGTCCGCTGCTGTACATGCGCTAAACCTGCATTTGCGTGATGCGTGTGGTGCATGGGTGGGACTCATTTTGGTATGCTGTCATGCGAACATGACCTCAAGGATGAGGTACCAGCTTGAAACGGTTGCCATTTCCGTTGTTGAAGTTTGTTGGAAACATTTACATTGAACGCAAGGGAGTTTGCTGGAAACATTCACACTGAACGCAGGGGGCATGGCGGTCTTGTTCCTAGCCATGCCAACGAAGCTATGGAACTTAACTGGAAGGGAATCCGGACGCAGATTCCTGTACCTGCAAAAACTGGTTGACATGGGTGCTTGGAAGCGCAGCTTGTGACCAAGAATTTTTGTGTTCCTTTAAATCGGCACTTTCGTGACATGAACATGAACGGTTTGCAACCAGTGCATGCATGTGCTTGAGCTGAGAGTTTTCTCACAGGCAGAAAAAACATAGCATGGCAGATTGACCGTTTGTGTTGCAGTTGCATGAGTGGAAATCAACTACATGAGTCGACCCAAAGAACAACAAGCTTGGTCTCGCTTGCACCAACCAGACTGATATCTTCCCAGTTGTGTGGCATGCGGGCTCCCGCTCGAGGGCCGTATGCCTATTCGGCGAAATATGCCGGCCCAATTGGGGCGCCTTGTTGATAGCCTCTTCACGTAGGAGTGTCTGGAGATCAATACCGGAGATCACTTTTGATGGGAAATCACAAAATGGCTGGAGTTGCGTGTAGCTGGAAATCAGACCATGTACAGCGTCATTGCATCATACCTTGACTGTTCGAAGTCTTTGTGCTCAAAATTTTGACTTTCGTAAGCAGGATGGATCGGGAACGTAGCGCTCGTCGACCAGGTTTTTTGCCGCCACCTCTCAGTTGGATGCGACCTATGACTCGACCTAACGTGTTGTTGCCCCAGAACTTGTCATGGCAACCGCACCCACAACTCACCGCACCAGTTCAGCAGTTCACAGGCAATGCTGGCGTAGGAAATGTTAGACCGGGACCACATGCACCCAGACGCTTCGGGCCTCCTTTTGCTCAGGACTTGTTGTGCAACCCTCAGTTCCTTGATTCCCGAAGCATTGCAGGGCTTCCTCTTGGACGTTGGGTAAAGCAGACCGATTGGACGTACAGGAAGCAACGTGGTGGATGCCCAGTTGATGAAATTCCACTACATGCAGTGTTGTATCAGGGCTTTCACAGTTTCTGGCTCAGACATATCGCGGAGGGCAAACCTACTTTCTTGGCAGGCTTTCGGGACATCTCCGAAGTTGTGTTCTGTCATGCTTTGTTTCAGCAAGTTCGGGACCAGGGAATTAATCTTGACGAGCTCGCGGGCCATGTACATCGTCAGGATCAGAACCTGTCAAGCGGAGGAGGTCGGACACCCCCACCAGAGATGAAGGGCCGGGCCGCAGCTTGTAATACCCTGGCATACAAGGTTGTTGATGCCATCATCAACATGCTTCTATGTGATCCTCCTCTTGATGCTGAAAAAGAGGACCTTCGCAGACAGATTCAGTTGTTGCAAGGAAAGTTGTCACGGTTTGAGTACCAAACAAATGAGCAACACTCTTCCTCACATGCTGGCGCTGAGAGGCCGCCAGAACATAACAAAGTCTCTCTACCGGTTGTGCACTCTGATTCCAGCCCTCCTTCCCCAGGTCCTAGCCCGGACGGAAGCAACCTACATGTTCAGGTGGAAAAAGCCACAGATGGGTCTAACAGACTTGTCAAGCAAGGAGGTGGGGAACAAAAGTCCCGCCGCACGGAGTTTGCCAATGCCTTCGCCCGAGGATCCCACCCGTCCCCGACCAAGGCCAGTGGATCGAACATGTTAGAGGGCGGTCAAGATACAACGCATACAGAGCCCTCACACCCAACCGGTGATGGAGATCTTAAACTTCAGAATATGGCACTGTTGCGCATGTGCAACAAGTGATTGACGGTCGCAATGAGAAGGGCAGCAAGTTCTTGAGTCGAACTTGGCAGCCGTGCAAGTCTGACAGGGAAGTGACGGTTTGGATTGAGAAATTTACTTTGTCCAAGAAAAACAAGGAGAGGTTGTCAGGATGGTGCACGCATGTTCAGAACTGGCATTCTTCTCTGAGTGCTTCCGAGCAAGCAAGATTGGACAATGTGCTTGTTGAGTGGGGTTTGCCGGTTCGTGATGTGTCCAAGCTCAAGGCCCATTCCTTGCTTCGACTTCTGTCCGTGGCCACCGTTTTGGTTGCACGATTACAACAGAGGTTGGATTGGCGAGAAGTGGGATGTGCTCGTGCAGGTTTGAAGACTTCATCTTTCTGGTGGAGACAAAACCGAGACATCCCGCTACTTATTTCAGGAGCTCACTTGCTCCTGCAATCCCTTTATTTTGAACCAGTGCGTTTTGGGGCCCAGGTCATGAACAATGTTCTGTGGCTGCGTGGAAAGTTCTTGCTCTTTGCATATGAAATGGACATGTGCAAATCTCCACTTCTTCAAAAGTTCTGAGTTTCCAGTTCTTCCTACGCCTGGAAGTTTTTCAAGATGACCTCCGTTGTTTACTGCAGAATTTTTCTGCAACATGTCGGTTCCTCCACGCAGACATTGGCGGATCGTGAGCGCTCACGATGGGAAAAAACAAGCAGATCAAAGCCAACAAGGCTGCCTGTGGTGAGTTGTGCCTGTGGTGGCACCACCGTATGCAGACTGTGCATGTGCCCATTCCTTTGTTAATCATGCATGTTCCCTCACCCCGATGTTTGCGTACTATGGAGCAGACTTTCATCAACTTGCTGGAGCCGCGACTCAATGCACCTTGGGTTCGTGACTTGGTAAAGTCCAAACACACCTGCCAGGCACTAAAGGATCCTATACGTTGTGTCAGGAGACATGTCGTTTCATGGCGTGAGTTCAGGAGATACCGACGTAGACAAATTCTGCGGTGCTTGCGACCTTGCGAGTGAAGGACTTCGGTCATTCCTGGCTGTCAAATGCCTGAGAAGCAACGCGTTGGATCACGAGACTGTATATCATCTTTATAGAATCGCGTCCCACTTGGGAGACCCACGCGTTGAAACAACGTGCAGATCGAAGCTCAGTGATGTGTTGAAGTTTCGCCAGCAACCCTTGCCGCCTGTGTGCTCACCTATGGCCTTTGTCCCATTGTCAAACGAACAAGTGTTTGAGGGACGAGTTCGTGTACTTGGGCCGGTGCCTTGACATTTCAGGATACAGGATTGTGCCGTTCCAGGTACCGTCTACACGTTTGGTCATGAAGAGTCAGCCGAAGATTCGAGACATTGTATACAACTTTCGAGACTTGACGTTGAACTGGCGGTTGGATGAGGACGGCCCCAATGAGGAAGTGAAATGTTGTTGCGCTTCTGTCTTGGCTCGCCGCCCTGATTTGACGGTGGTAGATGGTCATATTGCCAGCTCGGCAAGTTGAAGTTGTCACCAAGATTGACTGAACCGGCGGCATCAAGCAGCAACAATTCGGTCTTTGTGGATGCCGAGAATCATCAATTTCACTTCTTGGTCGCCATACAACAGTGGACGTCAAAACACAACTTGCTCTGCCCTCCAGAGGCTGAGATTTTGGAAGAATGGCGTGGTATCTGGGGTACGCACCAATGTTACATTCAGGACAAATGGACAGTTGAGGATGTACGCCAATTATTTGATGCAGCTAAGTCCCTTGTGTGGCATGTGCGTGATCATGAAGGTTCTCATTTGCATGTGTTCTGTCCGGTGAAGTACTGGACCATGCTGTCCAACACCTTTGGTGCCACACAAGTGTTACGGAACCCTTTCCTCACCTGCTCCCAAACTAATGTGCAAGTTGAGCAACGCGTTCCGCCCGCAATCCTTGACGATTTCAGTTATGGTTTTCGGTTCCGCGTGTCCGCGTGCAATTTGCCCTATGCCTACATCCTGCCAAAGCACAAGAAGAACTGGAAGGGAGGTCGGCCGATTGTTAGTGTTGCATCGCGCCTGGCCAAGAAGTTTCTGACAGTGCTGTCGAAGGAAGTAGACACTTTGACGTCTGATGTATGTCCGCATTCACGAGGATACAATGACGCAATTACCTTGTGGCATGTTTTGCACAGGTTCCTTGATCAAGATCGCCCAGATGAAGAGTGGCTCAACATGTGCGCGCTGCATAACCAGGATCTTGCAGGCTTCTTCGTCAGCATCCCGGTCATCCGGTTTCAAAAGTGCTTGCGGTTGTTGCTGATTCGGTTCTATGCTCTGGATCCGGATGATGATTTGACTTCACAGTTGGAAGGCATTTCCATGACCGTTAGCATCTCTCGAGATCTATCCGTGATGCGCGCATTTCGAGGCAGATATCGAGGAGCTCGAAATCAAAACACTATGTGGTCCCGATGCACCAGCTGATGGATGCCATCAACTTGTCGTTCAAATTCTCGTTGTTTCAGGTGGGGAATCAGGTTGTTGAACAGATCCGTGGCGCCCCGATGGGGAGCCCCCTATCGCCGTCGCTATGCCATGCAGTACTCAGTCTCTTCGAAGACTGCTACTTTCGCAGGCTTCTTCATAATGCTGTGTTCCGCGAAGAAGACTTTGTTGCTCTTCGATATGTGGACAACTGACCCACAGTTTGCTGGAATATGAACATCCA